ATGGGAATAATTAGTGAGAGCGTGATGTTAAAACGATTGCAGTGCTGCAGGGTAGGGATCTGCCTCCCAGTTAGTCACTGGCCCCATTTTGTGAGTTTTATAACTGAGCCAGTTCCCATACACTGTACGTGGGACACAGGCCCTTCACCTCTCAGCAAACGCTTTTTTCTCTCAAATCTCCTGCCTTTGTCAGTGACTAATACTGAAACATGAAAGAAGCTTTTTACTTCATGAGAAGCTTTCTGGGTTTAGGTCTGTTTTCTCCAGAGTGTGTTGACAACAGGAAAATGGGGTGTGTGCGTATACAAACACACATCCTTTATGGTGTTTTATCGTCTGGCTCTGTCCTGGGTGATGTGCCTGTCTGCAGAGGTGCCTGTTCTCAGCAAACCTCTCCCGTGCTGCCTGTTCAATGCTGGTACCCTGCGAGGTGGGGCTGTGCTGTCCCGGCACACTGACGCTGGCACAAGACAGAGCGCCGTGTCTCGGCGCTGCACCTCGTGCTGAGCCGGCACCCAGCGCTCACCCACGTGGCCGCGGCGAGGCTGCCTGCAGCCAGCCTTAGCGCAGGAATTGCGCACAGACGAGCAAGAGGGAGGATTTTGGGAGGGGTAAACAATATATCTGACTCTCTTTTCGGATCCAGCTCTTGGTAGTTGCTTGGAGGAGGCCTTCAGAGGCCGTGTGCTCCCAGCCTGGACCCATCTCTCCTGGCACTTCTCCTGGGACAGATGTGGCCACAGCCACAGGTCTCAGCGCCGTGCAGCCCGTGCCCCCACTGATGCCCCTCTGTGCTGCAAGCAGTGAGCCCGGGGTAGGCAGGGGGCATCGCCGTGGAGATCTCACAGCCGTTTCATGGCCGTTCTGTCCTTTGCCATACAAATCCTGCGGGGAAATATTTCAGTCCTGCACACAACCGAGTGAGGTGTTTCCCCCCCTGCAGGCTCACCGTCCCTTCGGTCGGCTGCCCGGGCAGAGCAGCCGTGCAGCCAGCGCGGGCGGGCAGCCCTGACCCTGGGGGGAGGCTCTTGCAGCCAAAGGCTCTGCAGGGTCAGCGGGCAGCGGTGGGACGGTCGCCTGTGCGGGGTTAGAAGGAGGAACAGCTGCAGTTGCCACACTGGCTGTACGGTGCTCCTGCTCGAGGACCGTGGGCAGTGGTGGGCTTGGGCTGCTGGGGGGGCCTGGGAGGGCAGCGGTGGCCTCAGAGCTCCTGCTGGAAGAGCAGCTCTGTGCAGAGAGCTTCAGAGGTCTGTGTGGTCTGAACACAGGTGCAGGAACCCAGTAGCTACGGGGGTTACTGGAGGTCTCCCCAGCCGTGCTGAGTTTTTCTGTTCCGGACTGGGTTACTGAGCTTGTTCACCAGTGTCAGGTGGCTCGGAGATCATGCTGTGTGGGGGGAATTCTGGCCTCCATTGCCTCCATCCCTTGGCAGAAGTGGTTTGATTTATAATTTTCTGCAGTGCTGTAAAGATGAATTGGCAGTGTAACAGTGTGGTGGAGTTGCAAGAAGGATGGTGCAGAGGAAACATGCTCCTGTCCGAACTCTGAACAGTCTGTAACTTTATTTTTGTCAGTAATCAATGGTGACTTGGGTATAATGAATAGTAAGAACCTCTTTAAGATTCCTCACCCTTTCGCAGGGAGGAAGGTTGGTCCATCAACTGACTGACTTGCATATGAGGCTTAATCTTAAAATGCATCCTTGTGCTTTAAGCCCTGCATATTATTTTTTTTTTGAGTGGAATATTAATATCTATAAAGCCAAGCTGAACAGGAATGACCTTTGCCGTGCCAAGACCCCGAGGGGTCTCTACAGGCTGGGCCAGCCCAGTCTGGCTGCACCAAGGGCACGTTTCTGACAGCAGGGCAGATGATGGCCCTTAGGGCGCTGGAGGAGCTTCACTCTTGGACCTCTTACACAGCAGACCTTTCTTCAAACTTGGAAACTTTCTGTTATCCTAAAAAAAAATCTCTCTCCAAAAGGCCTGAGGTGATATATGAAAAGGATTTCTTTTAAAAAGTAATGTTTTTCTTGGAAGAGGAAGTGATATTACAGAATCGGGGCTTGGGTAAAACCCTGGTGTCGTAGAGCGGTGTTAATAGATTAACACGCTGACAATGGATAAAAGGTTTGTCCTGTAAATGGATGTAGGATGACAGTATCTCCTTGTTTTATGGTTGCATAGTTGACCTCTGCCTGAAATTTCCTTTCCCCTGTGTGCGTACTTTGCGATTAATGGCATAAGCATATTGTGTTTCCTTGTCTGTCCTTTTGCCTTTTTTTAAAGAACAGTCTCTGATGATTAACAACCTCTCTATTGTTTCACGTAACCAAACTGGAAGAGCGAATACGCAGGCAGGCGCTTTTTTCCCTGTAGCTGGTATGCTGTGCTCCACAAAGTGAGCTGCATGACCGGTCCTTGGGGCTGGGCAGCAGAGGAAACCGCTGGGAGAGGGACAGCAGAGAGCGTGACTGTGCCAGGAAGCACGTCAGGTGCCAGAGCAAGTGGCTGAAACCTGGGTTGACCCAGAAGAATTGGAAAATGCTTTGGTGTCCCAAGCGCAGGAGCTGGTGTGCGCTGGGCAAGGGCAGTGGGCAGGCCACTGGGAGAAGCGGGGTGCTGCCTGGGTGGGCTTCTGGGGCCATCGCCCAGCTGTAACTGGGAAGCAAGGCTGTAAGAGCTGGGTCGCCCTGCCGCTGTACGGAACGTTAACCTGTACGGCGGGGCTGAGCCAGGGCGGAGCGCGGGGCTCGACGTCTGCGTGGGATGGCGAGGACCGGCCATGCGCCTGCAAGCCTTTGAACAGGAGTTACCTCGAGCTGTGGCCCTGGTCCCTTCAGTGAACCTGAGGAGAAAAACTTCTTTAGGGCAGGCTGACTTCACGGCCGGGGCTGCTAGGCGGCGCCGCTGGCGGAGGAGCCCGCTGTTGGTTTCCTTCCCACTTTTCACTGATTTTATTTTCTTGATGTAAACGCTATTCCTGGAGGAAAACTCACTTGCTGACTACAGCTGGTTTTGCTGCTGAATCATCCCCCAGTTTCCAGATGTGGGATGATGGATTTTCTCCTGCAAACGAAAAACCTCTACTTTGTCTTGTGTTACATAGCTAGATGCCCTGGGAGAAGGAGAGGGAAGGTGCTCCCTGGAACGTGTTCCAGGAGGAGTGAGAATTAATGTTGGGGGGTCAGTCTCTGCCCAGTCTCCGCCAAGAACATGTCCTGGGTGACGAAGCTGACGCAAGCCATCCTACTGCCCTCCGGCTGCTGCCAGCACGGCTGGCTGTGGCCTTGCCATGGAAGGCATCAAGGGACAGGTCTCGGTTAAAGATAAGCCTGCAGGAGATAAATAGACATTTTATTCTTCAATGCTGACTACGTTCCCTCGCTCAGCTCACCGCCCCGACTGGCACGTGCAGCCGGCGTGTGGGGCGAGAGCCGCTGGCGTCCGCTTTGCCGCTGCAGAGGTGTCCGTGGAGCTGCGGCTTTGGGGGCTCTCCGCAAGGCTGGCGCTGTGGCTGGTAGGCAGGGGAGCACAGGAATAGCCTGGGCTTTGGTGACCTCCATTGTTTAAGTGACTTAATGGTGCTATTGCAGAAGTGCTGTGTGACACACAGCCTTTTTGTGGGGGATTTGAGGTGATGGGGATGTTGGGCCGGGGTTGGGGCACCCAGGGTTGAGCGCGGTGGTGAGGTCGGCTGTGGTCAGTAGCGCTTGTGCTCGGCTGCTGCTGGCACTGATCCTTTGAGGACATTACAGTGTCAGCTTCCTGGCCTCATGCTGCTGCGGGAGCTCTTGGGGGCAATCCCGGCAGCAGGGACCCCACGGGAAGCACACGGACCCTCGCACCCCTTCTGAATCTCTGTCCTCGGTGTTCATGTCATTAATGGGGACCCTGCAGTGGGAAGGGTCGAGAAACACTTGCCTGCCTGACTGCAGGCTCCTGCTCTCTCCTCCTCCCCGCTCCCCTCGGACGTGTCAGCCGTTGCTGCCTTGTGTGTTGCTATCAACATCACCTTTGGAAACTTTCCTTCCCTGCTTGCTATTTCTGGAGGTGACATGTGATTAAATCACCTCCCCATGCTTTGCTCCCGGTGGAAGGGGGCTCCCAGCTTTGTTCCCAGCAGAGGA